TATGTTTTGTTGTTCTCATCTTTATCGGCTACATTATCTAAATAATTTTGTTTTCATCTATCTCTGTTCTTTATCTGTTATAGGTTCTTTTTCACTTGTCTCTGTATTCTTTCTTTTTTCTTTTTCTTTTTTTAATCTCAAATTGACAATGATTTGTGTTTCAATATATTGAGAGCAACGTAGATGCAACATCAAAGATGATAGGGAAGGAAAGAAAGGAACGGGACAATGACCTAGCTGTATCATACTCTTACTTCTCAGAAATGTCAAATGTTCAAGCATCAATGGAGATATCTCTGTGTGAATAATAGATGAAGACGGAATTCAGAGAGTTGTAAGAGATGAGAGAAAAAAAAGCTAAAGATTGTATTGAAACAATTTAGGATTACTTTTGTCATTTAATTTATAAAAATAGATTTTGGAGCAAATATCAGCTCCCTAGTATAATTTGATATGTTAAAATTTGAAATCACTCGTAATTGAGGCGTCCTATAAGTTTTTCATGTGAATAGTATTTTATTTATTATTATTTTTTTATAGGTTCTTATATAATTTTGACAAATTTGTTAACTATTTATTGATAAAAAAATATTTAAAATGAAAACAAAAATAAAAATTTAAAAGTTAGTACATCTGACAAAATCACCAGCCAAGCTAATCTAATTAATTTCGGTCACCGTTAATTTATAAAGAAGAAGAGAGAGCACTAAATTACAGTTTTGACAACACCTTAAATTAAAATTTGAAATGATTCCTAATTGTGCGGCTTGAATAAGCCAGTGAACTATTTATATTGATAAAAATAAAAAATAAATAAATAAAAATTGTAATAAAATTAAAGATATAAAAAATAATTACTCCCTCCGTTTCAATTTAAGTGTAATATATCGTTTGAAAAAAAAAAAAAGAAAAAAAAAAAGAAAAAAGGACAATATTTTGGGACAGACAAAAAATGAAAGTTTGACACTTAGTTTAGGAGGGAGGGAATATAATTTTAAAAATCAATTGATATCTCGATAACAAACTAAATTAAGAGGAATCTTATCAGTCTTATCATTTTTTTTTTTTTTTTTTTTGCCCTTTTTTTAAAACAAAGATGAATTCAAATTTATCAACTTTTAGAGCTCATTAGAAATCTTAGTCAAACTCGGATTAACCTGCAAATAAACTAGTCAAATCTGTTGTTTATTTATTTATTTATTTTTAATACCTTGGCAAGATGCCAACAAATATTTTATTGTCTTGACATGCAAATTAAATGGAGGGCCCAAAGGAATTGAATATATTACCAAAAGGAATTGAATTTTAAACGCAATTGTCTTCCACCGTGAATGGACTGAGAGGCTTGGGAAAATCTTTAGTCCATTTCTTGATTCCTAGCATCTTTCCTTTTTCAAATTAATTCCTACTTTTACCTTTGTGCACATAAATATGCAACTCTGATTCATAAAATTCACCACGTTAGGATGAATTGGTGATGTGGTCGGTTTTAATTGAATGCAAAGAGAAATAAATACACAGTTATATTTGGGAACACTGAATTGACGGTTTAAATTTAAAATTAAAAACAATTTAGTTAAGTCGATTCAATATTACGAAACGCAAGAAAAGAAGAAAAATATTAATCAAGCACAAACCAAGCCATGCGCGGTTATTAATTTATTCTAGGATAATTATAATACATAGCATGCTTAATTGGCCTACAAGCCAAGATATTAATTCACCACACAGATTAAACAGTAAACACACAACACACCAAACCATATATGCTTCAACTTTGTGAAACTCATCTATGTAGGTTCCACTTTATTACACAATATTTTACAAGCCCGCCATTTTTTATTTTACATCGATCAGCTCCATTTTTCATAGAGCTATTCCTTGTCGGGTCGTTGATCATCCGCGTAATAGTGGTGAGTCTCAGTGGATGTCCCTGAAGCATTCCCATAGCTCTGATTCACATCATCGTCATCACTGTTATCAGTACTACTGTCTTCAGTACCTTTGTTTCCGGCGAGACCACTATAATCGTGAGCACCGTTGTTAACTTTCCGGCCGAGATTGGCATCAGTACTCATTAGCTGACGCTCCACCAAAGTGAGCCTTTTTGCATTTGCTTCCAGAGGTCCCAAAATCAGCAAAAAGGCTACAATAAGCACAAGCAAGGTCTTCATGATCAAAGCTAGTGCTGCTTTAATTAATTCCCTGAAAAATATAAAGTTTATATAGTTAATAAAAAGATATATGTATATTATCTAAAACTACTAATTGAACAAAATAACAAATTAAGCGGTACTGCAATGAAACAAGCTAGGGTTAGAAAATGTAATTATATTATACTCTTCCTGCTTCAAGAATATATGTATGTATATGATCTATGAAATAATAGTATAGATTGCCAGTGTGACAACAAATATATATAGAAGAATTTTGGTACCGTACGTGTTTAAATGAATTAGTGGGAAGGTAAGATTACCAAATTTTGAGCATTGGTGAAAGAACAATTATTGAACAATGTGGGGACTCAAAAGTGTCTTAGCACAGAGAATATGGCCACTACAGAAGTAATTATTGTTATAGATAATTAAGGATGAATTATTAATTAATGCTGGATTTTTAATTAATAATAATTTCCTTGATTGTTTATTTTTATTTTATAATGAACCAATATATATATCTAGTGGGTGAATAAACAAGCTATATACTGTTAAATCACCACCCACGTCTCCTTTTGGAAGGGGTTTATCAATCAATCTGATTAATATTTTTTGTAGCTACACTAGTACCGAATCATCTAGGCCTTAATTACCTGTTAAGGGCAGCTTAATTCATAAGAATAGCTCGATCATGGGACTCTAAGTTTCGTATATTATGAATTTGTTGAGACCTTAGACACGTAATTTGCCGACGATTGCGTTTTAAAATTATTAAGAGCTCAAAGTGGTTTAGTGGGGGGATTGATTTTTCTTTAAAACAAAAAGTGACCTATAGTGTAGCAGTAGCACAATGGATAAATATTTATATGGTTGTATGGAGTGGCTTAAACACTTGCTGAATATGGAAAGTTTATCCCATTATTGCTTTAGTGGCATTGTCATTATATAGGCTAACTTATTTAATTGTTTTCATTAAAATTTGTTGAGATTGGAGCTTTAAGATAATTAATTCCACAAGTGCTAGCTGCCTGTTAGATACTATTAGTGATAATTTAATTGAATGGTATACACTTATGCAAAATAATTTAAGAATCTGTGGGGGTCCATATGTGAAAGTTAGCTTCTGTGTTTTTTTTTTTACCTCAAACGGTAAACAATGTAAAGGAAAATGTACAAGACCCAAGTAGGACCCAATGGAGAGCCCAACAAGCCAGGCCAACCAGAGGAACAAAAACTACAAATTGAGATACAACCACCCCAAGAAGATAGGCCCAAACAAAATATAAATAAGCTAGTTTGACTTTAATAGCCCTTGATGACAGCTTGTGATAACCCATTAGCAATGGATATTTGGCTCATTTCGGCGAGTAGAGTTGCAAATGAATCGAATTGTTCATGAATAATTTGGGGTTGATTCGTTAAGGGTTTGGTTCGGGCTCATTCATTAAACAAATGAGCCGAGTCCGAGCTCAATTTCTAGGTTCATTTAGTAAAAGAGCCGATCCCGAGTAATATTGAGCTCGTCATGAGCCCAAGCCAAACAATAAACAAACAAGCCCGAGCAGCCTAAGGCTTGGTTCGACTCGGTCATTTGTAGCCCTACCGGTGAGCAGCGGTATGAATGGAGATTAAAACACTGTGGACCGTGAGTCACCCTAAGAATAAACTATAGATACTTACGATCTGTTTTAATTTTTCTTATAACTCTGAAAAAAGTATTTAAAAACTTTGAAAATAGAAATTTGTTTTAAGGTATAATTATAAAAATTTGAAAACAGACTTTTTATAACTAAGTTTTCAGAAAACTAAACTAAATAGAATTTTCGGACAAAAAATTATTTTTAGATAACTATAAAAGACAACAATAAAATATTTAAAGAACAAAAATTGTTTTCAGAAAACTGTAAAAAGACTTGTATTTATGAACAGACAATTTTATAATAATTTTTGTTTTCAGAGTGATAAGCCTTAAGTTTTAAAAGAATTATAGACATCTTTGATTGAAAAGTTGTTATCAGTATCAGCCCAAACCACATGGTCCTAAACTTCGTGTTTATAGTTACACTATTGAATCATCAAGGCCTTAAATTAATTACCTATATAATGAGTTTCTTACGCAATGTTTGACATAATGAGAAAATAGTACTAATAAGTATTTTTCTATGTAGTGGTTTAAACAGGTGCATTCAATTATGTTTTAACCAATCAACTCTACTTTATGTTGGAGTGCACTTCCTCGCTAACATAAATTGAATTCGAGAATTAAAATTTAATCCATAAATAATTATTCTTAATGAAAGAATAAATTTGATCAAATTTAAAAAGAACAAAGAATTATCATGATAAAAAACATCAAAATTTTTCTTTTTCAGTAAATGACATAAAACAGCAATTTTTTTTTTTAGTTGAATTGGCAAGCTTGTATAAATAAAGAAAAATATGTACAACTCCATGAACATGGAGACACACCAAGGCTACATCTAGCTGTTACAAGGTCAGCAAGGACCATCCAGTTAACCAAACCAACTTGGTAACTTTCCAGAATAAACAGAAGTAAACAAAAGACTACAAAAGACTACAACATAAAACCTCAAAGATGAAGCTAATGCTATCATGTTCTAAGACACATCCTTATGAGAGGCCATTGCAATCCACCATAATTCTTAAAGAAGGAACGAGGACTGCCTATGAGCAAAAGCACAGCCCTGTTGGAAAAGTCTGCAGGTCCATCATTGATCCAATCTTTATTAGGTCTGCCCTTTTGCATAACTTTAATGAGGCAAGTCTTGCCTAACACTGCTCTTGATTGCTCTGATAAGGAGATGTGGAGGAGAAGACTTGTTCCTAAAAGCCCTTGAGTTTCTTTCCTGCCAGATGAAGTATATTGCTGCTGATAGGAGTAGCTTGTCCATGACTGATGAAATTCCCTTGGTTCCAAGCCTTAGCACACCGGTCAATGAGATCAGACCAGCAACCTGGCATGATATAAAACCCTGCTACATTTTGTATGAAGTCCCAAATGACACAACTGTATTTGCATTTGAAGAACAGGTGGTCCAGTGACTCCCAATCAGAAAGACAGAGAAAGCAGGCATTGGTTTTGTGCTTGTGCTTCATAGGCTTTGAATCCAATGTGTAAAGTCTGTTCCTAATAGCCATCCAAACAATATGACTATGCTTTGGAATATGGTACTTAAACCAAATGAGATGATGCCAAGCAAATGACAATGGAGGAGGGGTGAAGTATTCCATAGTGAGCTTGTGTGAGTAGTCCATTGGAGCACTTGGTAGCCATTGTATCAGGTCTGGCATTGGTGTTGGATCAACTGTGCTTTGGAGCTGGGACATGAAAGATTGGGATTGGAAGAATGGAACATGATGAAGGAATGATGGGATTGCCCATTGAGAATTGGAAATTAAGTTATCAACCTTGACTTGATAGTTAAGTTGAAGAGTTTTCAATTCAGTAAGGCCTAATTGATCTGAGATAGGATCATTTGGGAGCCAAGAATCTAACCACAAGCTTGTGGATAAGCCTGAACCCACCTTGTGTCTTATTAAACCCCTTGCCATTTAGTTTGAGAAGTCTTCTCCAAAATCTAGAACTCAAGGATGTAGGTTTGACAGTACAAATACACCTAGTCCTGATGAGGTACCTATGTACCCAAGCAACCCAGAGTAAATCCTTCATAACAGCATCGCCACTTAAGGAATGGTAGAATTTCTCTGTTATTGATGGGAAGAACTCAAAACACCCAACAAATACTCGCTTTTCGAAATTAGTTATCTTATGTTAAAAAAAAATTAAAAATGAATTATCTTAAAGCTGAACCTCCATTAGATAAAGTCAGCAAATTTTGGTAAGAACACTACAAATAAGTTAGTATATAAAGGGATTGACACTTGGCCACTGAAGGAATTGGAAGATTTGTCTTCCATGGAAGAGACCGATAATATCTAGCGACCACTTTTTGAAATTAATTATCTTAAACATGGGATCTCCACTAGGTAATGTCAACGAATTTTAGTGAATACACTTGAATAAGCTAGTTAGCCTAATTTGACAATGCCACTAAGTGAATGATGGCATAAATTTTCGATGGAAACAGTGCTCAAAATATCAATTGACCACTTTTTGGATTTAATTAATTCTTAAGATGAACCGCCATTAGGTGATGAATCTGACGGGACAAAATGATTTAAATAAATATAAAGGTGGTATTTTTACGAGCTGAACCAAACTGAATTGGTAAATAAATGTTATATATGCAAAACCGAATCGATAAATAAATAAGTAGGTTGAGTGTAATGTGAGCCTCATACATTTCAATCCTTCCATTAAAAGTACAAGAAAATGAAAAATAAAAAAATTGCACAAAATCATGGAAATGGAATTCAAACCAAGATATATATATGGCAAATGCTTTTCTTTTAACCAAATCATGCTTGGAAGTCCTCAATTTAATTCTGCACGATTTTGTTTGGGTTCATTGGGCTGAATTATTGAGTTTAGGCTAGTTATGGGGCTAATTATAAATAATACTAAAAAAAATATAAAAATAAAAATAAAAATAAAAAAGCCAGCCAAATTGAATCAGACTGCTTATTTATAGTTGGGTACGTTCTACTTCAATAGTTTTCAACTTTTCACTTCGGTGTTAGCAACTAGACCTTGTGCACTTATGACATTCTTATTTTTAATAAATTTTATAATGTTGTAGAATTGTATAGGATTGCATGGTGTATTCTATAATGTAATGGAGTAGTATATTGTCTAGTAGAATAGGAGTAAAATATTCTAGACTACTATATGTTTGTAATTTGAGTTTTCTACCTACGATGTCCGTTTTCTACAATGTCCATATAAAGGTGTCATTTGCTCTAATCACACTTGTCAAGAGTAATGAGTCCTTCAATCATAATAATAGTAAGTGAAGAATTAGTCCTCTCATCATCATAATAGTGAGTGAAGCCGTAAGATAACGTAACTAAAGATTTACTTTACACATGGATAGAAATTGAATCATTGTTATTAAAAACAGTAATTAAATCGCCATATTTTATGTGTTACCTATATAAATGACTGCTATACTATATCCTTATAAAAGACTAATTTTAATTTTATATATTTACAAACTAAATTGTACAAAAGACTGTAATCCAAACCGTAAAACAAAATGTGCTCGAACCAAGACAGTAGGGACAGTGAATCCAAACTAGGTTGCAACAACTCCAATTTGAATAATTTAGCTGAACACGAAAAATTCAAACAAATAACCCAAACTGTAAAACAAATTAAATGTGCTAGAACCAAGACAGTAGGGACAGGGAATCCAAACTAGGTTGCAACAACTCCAATTTGAATAAATTAGCTGAACACGAAAAATTCATGTATCAGAATTGTTCTGCATATATGTGTGTAAAATTTAGAGAAGCTTAGTTAATATGTTGAAATAGTTTTTCTTATTTCTTCAAATTCTTTACTTTATTCTTCCCAACTCTTACCCAGTATAACTCTCCAAGTACCCTAGGCTTCTAGCTAGCTTCTCCAGTTAGTTACTTAGTTATAATTTATAAATGAAGTATCTAAGTTAATTAAGCTTGAAGAATGAATAGCCTTGGAAGTAGTGTCATTGACAACAACACTAGTATTGACTGAGTTTTGCTCTCTGTTGGTGCTCTGTGTGCTTGGCAGCTTGCTTCCACTGTATTTCTTGTATGGAGGTTGTGTGTTGCCTTCGGACTTTTTGTTTGGGCCTAAGTGCCTTGTTGTTGCTTTCTTTTTGGGTAGCTTTGTATTGTTTGGTTCTTTGTTTTGAATAAATTGATTTACCCAAAAAAAAAAAAATGAATAGCCTTGGATTAATTGTTGATCTATATATCTTCATATTTCTCTATATTCTTGGTAATAATACATTCTTGATACCTTAAATCATAATGGGAGGAGGGATGTGGCTAGCTACACATGTATGTTGTTAGCATAAACGTTACCACATAGACAATCCAAGAGTGTTTGGAATATTAATTAATTCCTTGATTTCTTATGAAATTTGTTCCTAATAACCTAGAAGATTTCTAATTTTAATTAGATATATGGACTTTTAATATTAGCATTAATAATTTACTCCATGCAAAGTGTTAAATATCTACTACTAAATTTCTCTCCTTCCCTCAAAATCTCAATCTATACTAATTTATATATGCACCGGCCACCATACACAAGTGAATATGCAAAAAAAAAAAATGATGTATATATATATAAGGAATGATTAGCTTTTAAATTTAATTTTCAACTTTAAAAAAACACAGAAGATCCCTAATTAATTAGAAATCGATCACAAAACCATGCCAGCCATGGTGGTTTTATTTAATTCTAACACGAGTATCATACAAAGCTTACTCGGCCTACAAGCCCAAGTCAACAAACATCACACATGTACACACAACAACATGTAAATTGATACTTGGAACATAATTTGTGAACCACTCACGTACATGTGCCATAAGTACACACATATATACATATATACTTTTTGGCAACTTACATGTTGGTTCCACATTATTACATATATAATACAAACACACCATATATAAGTAATACACAAGTTCGATCATGCAATTCACTATGAACTAGCCTTTAGAACAAGGTAAGGACGTTGGCTATGCCGATCATTTTCGTTTTGGAGTAGGTGCTGCTATATGGATGTGAGGTTTACGATTCACAGGTGAACCTTCAGGTGTATTATATATATCAGTAGCATCATCTCTTGTTGCCAGAACCTTACGATCAGTACTGCCAGCAACTCCGCCGCCAACATTTGCATGATCTTGATCTTTACTTTTATTAACTATATGGTAGCAAGGGGTATGATTCACAATTGCACCTGCAGGTTTATTATATATATCAGTACCATCTTCCTCCAGAAGGTGCCTTTTTGCATGGACTTGAACAACTCCCAAGATCAACGCAAACCCTACCATGAGTGCAAGCAAGATCTTGATCATCATCAATTTGTTGAGTTGATAACCCTGAAAATTACAAACTTCATTAATTTTTCTACTTAATTAATAACAAAAATTAAATTAAGCTTGCTTTGCATAAAAATTAAGAAACTAAGTAATTCATTACCTGATAATTCTAGTGAATATAGATTCATATATTGGATGAAAATATATATGGATTCCAAGTGTGGGATTATATAAGGCCAATTAGATTAGTGGGTGGATAAAGATAAAACGTACGTACTGTTAGCATGCACTAAGAAAAAAGATCAAGCTTGGGGTGCACATAGTGGAAGATTGGCAACTTACCATCATTGCGAGAGATTGTAGCCACTGAAAGAGTATGTAATTAATTATTATTTTAATTGACAATAATTAAGAAACTGTCTAATGCTGACTTTTCACTTCATTAACGAGTAATATGGATTATATATTGGCCTTGCAAACTGTTCGATTTAATATCTTTCTAAATCACACACTAAAATGCTTCCAGAATATATATATATACACATACTCATTTTATATATATAATATTGACCATAGAACAATAATACAAAAGGGTCCATGAATTACCTGCAATTATTAAGGCTACCTTGATTATGCCGTTTACTAAAAAATAAAGAAAAGAAGAAAACCTTTATTATGCCACCAATGTCTATGAGCAGCCCGCACGCCGGCTGGCTATGCACATAAAAGTTGTCGGTTACATCAGTGACTAGTTACAACATGTGGCCGCCGGTCCGCCGTATAAGACTGATCACAAATGAATCAAAGAAAGACTTTAGAGGGGAAAAAATAGATGGGAAAGAAAGAAGAAAAAAAAAAAAGTTGATAGGGGCCACAAAGGTTCACCACAAGCATTGCTATCTGGCTAGCGCATTGACAAAATTTATGTGGAGTCTGCTATCTGGCTAGCCCACATCACAAGCTTTCACCGGCTAAAGGCTATCTGGCTAGCCCCACGTCACAAGATTTCACTGGCTAAACATATACCACACCAGATGGCCTAAGGGAAAATATATAGGGCATGTGTCCGTGGTAAACATGTCAAATTCTGAAAAATAGGGCGGGTATCCGTGGACACAACTAATACACACATAAATTCTTATTTATATATCTATTAAATAAGACAATTATAGAATTTAAATGTGTATGTAATATTGTTTGTCTTATATAAGATGGTATAGGATGTGTTGAAAAATTATTTAACTTGTGTTGATCAAGTGTTTGAAATGTGTTGGTGAAGTATTGACTAATTATTGATTCGTTGGCAATTGTTTAAAATATGTCGACTGAGTATCCAAAATAATAAAAATTATTTTTAAATTTTGGATACATCTATAAAGTATTGAATGTGTGTCTATAAATATTCATAAAATATCAGGGTCTTATCTTATGTCAAATACGAACGCAACTCCCGGTCCGGATAAAAGTGTCCAAACTTCTTTCGCTACCAAGGTGGCCCTTATGGAAAGGTTAATATATTTAACTGAATTATTAGTTAATGCATTAATAAGCCACATTATTAACTGTGGTCGTATCAATATATCATACAACACATTAATATTTAAACTGGTGTGAGAGTTGACAAGTAAGCTACTAGCTATGTATATACAAATAGTAGCAGACTAGCCATTTCTTCCATTAAATTCCAAAAACAAAATGGCCAACAATGTTCCTCTGAATTTCCACATTAGTTCATGTGGCTTTTAAGAGAAGATTAAATTAATTAGTGATGGTAACAAGTTTGATTAGATGAAGCTAGCTGACAAGAAGATGCTAGCCAGCCTAGATGGTAACATGGTTGCGAAATTTTCTAGTAATCATATATAGACATTCTGCAAAATTTGGATTAAGACAAAACAACAGAAGATAAACTGAATAAAATTCCAAAAATATGGAATATTTAATCAAATTAAAATTACATTAATTTTTAAGAAAATGTCCGGTATAATATTTTTATCAATTCAATTAGATTTCAATTTACATAAACTTGGCTTATTTTAAGGGAAATTTAGTCAAATAGTAAGAACTTGTTTACCATACATTCTTCCAATAAATAATTCTTTTTTTCTTGGCAAAGAGAAAACTTATTGAAAAAATAAATTAAAATGAAATTCTAAATTAATGAAGAAAAGAAGAACTACTGTAATACGAGTACCTATGACCCATATCAAAGACCCTCTAATGGGTTTGGGCTGGGCTATGTGGCCTAACATATATGAAATAATGGAACTCCAAAGAAGCTGGCCTAATCACTGCCCGGCCCAACTATTAAGGCTGCAAGCTCATCATTTTGATCACTGCCTCTCATTTCGGTATCCATATATCATGTTGAGTAACAATTCTTATACATTTAGAAATTTCGAATCTTCCCGCCAATAGAGTTCTGAGAGAGAGATGAGAGAGAATCATCTTCAAACTCCTCAGAAGGAACATCTACTAGCAAATCGGAGATCGAAGTCCATGTCTGAACAGGCAAAGAAGCCACAAAAGGTACATTTGAAACCCTAACTTATTGATCTCTCTCTGTATTCAATGTCAGTCGTATTCATATTCAAATATCTCATTTTTCTACTGTTGCAGATAAGCAAAAAATGCTTGAATTCTGTGTTTACATCAGTTTCAGAAGATGTCTCGGTCGGATCACCTAAGGACTCGATCGATTTCTCATCAATCTCGGAGGTTTATGTCGACGGTCAATTCGGTGATTCCGCAGAGGTAATTTAAAATTGAATTCGCAATTCAATGTTACCAACTCTCATGTAAATTTTTCGTACTGTTTAGTTATGAATTTGGAAATCACTTTTTTAGCTCAAAAACAAAACGCAAAGTACTTTTGATCCGGAATTCGGTGTTGGCTGTTGCTTATCGTTGGATTATTCAGTGTGTTTTTTGTATTTAGGAACTACTTTTCTTACTTTTGAAGATAAAATATTCCAGTATTCGCTATTTTCAATTAGCAATGTAATGTTGCATACAATCACTGGTTTTATTTGTATTTGGACTAGCTATCAAGAGCGAATATTATTTTTTTTTTCTGTTCCAGAGCTTCACTGAGTCGGTAAATCCAGAAATTTCGCCTTCATTAGAGACTGCTGCTCCGTCTCAGCTTACTCCGTTGTCGTCCACCATTACTGTCAATAATGATGAGAACGGTAGTGTCTCAGTCAACCGTTGCAGATCTGCTGAATCAAACAGCGTGAAGATTGGTTCCATAGAGGAAGAGATGGTAATCAATCATCTCAGGCAAGCTAGAATTGAGATACTGAATTCGGCTAATCTTCAGTCTAAGAAGCTGTTGGATGCCTTAGTCAAGGTAGTGATCGAGGAGTTCTGTGGTTTGCCTGAGGAGAAGGACCAGTTTTCGGAACTCCTTTCAACAAAAGCTCACCTTGTGCTTCTGAGTTTCTTTCTGTGGATCCTTGCTGTTGTAGGGGTTTTCTTCTTCAGTTTTGGTGTCCGAAGTTCTTTCAATGGACTTGCACCAACATAAGTCTTGCTTCGTGGGGTGTCCGTCTGCTGATCAGTGGTTAAATGGTAAGAATGCTTGCAATTCAGCTTACTTGTGCTCTTTGTGCTATTCCTCAAAATGCTTATCCTCCACTCAGAATTGCTAAATTGAATTGATCTGACAATACTTGTACAGTGGGCATTTGCTCAACATTTTGCATCTATATGTTAGAAATATATAGATATACCATTCCAGTTCTTCTGATTGGGTTTGGATATAATCACAATTAGATTTCTGAAAGAAAATATATTCTGCGAGGGTTGAAGTGGAGTACGCTGGCAACAATTTAGCAATTATTGAAAAATGTACTGGTAAATGAATTGATGATTCAATCCTCATCCTGTGGTCGTTACACTCTAAATCAATCTATATATTAAATGTAGTTTCAGGTGACCTGTGAAGTATTTTCCTATGCTAAGAGGAAAGCCTAAATGAACTCCCTAATATGATTGATAATAACCTTCACAACCTGCATGTCTCTTGCTTCAGTTAGCAAATATGCTTACAGCCTCAAGCACAAGCTTTTGGTGTGCTTCAATTTAGAGGTTCAAGATTAGTATTAATAACCATGAATGCAACATTAGCTTTCTTAGGTGTAAATAGTAAACTTATGAGCTGAACTGACCACTCCTCCCAAAGGAATTACTGATCTCTGTTGGGCATATCTTTTCACTCTCCTCCCTTCACCACTAATTACCCCATTTTAACTCTCACTCCATTCCTAACATTGAATTTATTTTGTGAAGTCTAAATGGCATGTCTAAATGTGAAGCATATGCAAGTTATCTTGCTAGTATCATAGATGTCACTCTCCTCCCTTCACCATTAGGTAGATGTTTGCTTGCACAGCAGTAATGTACTCGGTAAGTCAGTGGAGCTTAGATGTCAACCAAATATAGGCTAAAGTGACACCACTGAGAATGCAGAAATCCACCTTTTTGGTTCAGACAATGAGGTCTTGTTCTAGCGTTGACAGTATTTCCTAAAACAAGCTTAAGAAGGGCTATGAAAAGAGCCATAGGTACCAGTGTGGTTTAGCTCAAAGAGACCATGTAAGAGTTCAACAATTGGAGTAAAGTAAGTCCTGGTTTTTGTAGTAAAATTTTATCCTCTGATCTAGTTGGCGTCATTCACCTATTACTTAGACTTTCTAGTTTATCATACTATGCTCAATTGTGACAATACAATTGTAATGGGCCCAGTGACCATGTTAAATGGATTCCTTTTTTTTTTTACTTTTTTTTCTTTTTTCTTTCTCATGTTGACTTAGGTTGTCTGTCCTTTATATATATGATCCATTTATAATATTCTGACAATTAAAACTCATCAAAATATCATTTTGACAATTTGAACATAACATGTATACTGCAATCACAGAATGACAAACAGACTGAAAAAAAAAATTGTGATTGTCTTGCTTGTGCTTTATGGATGGAAAAATTGCAAGGTCCTTTTCTTCTATAACCTCTGTGATCCCCTTATGTTTCAATTTCTGCAACATCCATGTTTGTGTATGGGTCCAAGGACAGGAAATAAACCGGGATAATTTATACCTCAAAAACAGAATTTGCTTAATGTCTTTTCCTAACCAGCCTTTCAATCCATTCATTTCAAAATCCTTCAATTCAAATGAAGCCTTAATGTCTTCTTTAGCGAGTCTTACAATTGTTTTTAGGCATTACACTTCTGATTTGAATATTTGATGTACTTCACTTTTATGCCCTAGAATAGCCAAAATCTCTGCATGACCTTTTTTCTTGGGAATTCTATTGTTTGCTCCAACAGTTCTGTAGTTGCATAATTTCAACCTGAGGGTTTCTTATTCCGTTTTTTTTTTCCTCTTCCTCTTCTTCTTCTCAATGATATTCCATGATCTTCCAGCCACTGTATCCAAAGTCCCTTAATTTGAAGATCCTGAATGTTGATTGCTGATCTAATAAGAAGCCCATCCCTGAGTCATATGCATGACATTGGAAAGAATTCGAGTAGAGTACTAGTTCAGATATTTTTCAGTTCAGTTATAACTTCCAGAGGACCCGACAAAGACAAGTTCACCACCTCTCACTCATGTGTAAGTAAGATGATCATTGTTTGGTCAATAATTAAGTTCCATCTAATATTGTTTAATGATGACAAGAAGCTTAACCCTCTAACTGCTTAACAAAAGAAGCATGGATCAGGTAAAAAATCATTGTTAGAAAATTTGTGAAGAAAGTCATATATTCTCTACATAATGATGAGTGCATAAAAACTTTATATATTTAAGTGGTATTATGTTTTAAATTCCTGAAGGTGCAAACTACCAAGAGTTTGATTGATTGATGTCATCTGGTAGGTCAAATGTCTGTGTTATTTGATCATTATTGTAGTTCATCTTTTTTCCTCGGAGGGTGGCCCTTTGGGTATCAAATAGGTTCATAGATCATATTATTATTAATAGAAGATCAAAGTTTGAAACTTCTGGTGGAATAATTTCTTGCATCATCTGATATCATTCTCCGATCCAACAAAATTTTTACATTTTATATAAACATGGGATAGAAATTTCCATGGTTAGATATGATCAACATTTCTCTATAAATGAAATATGTTGCAATTAAGTTGAAACACCAAATTACCCCATTTAGACTTCTCTAAATATGTGACATAATATAGAGAAAGAAATGTTCAGAAGAGAATGTCATGTAAAGAGATCTGGAGTTGTATCTTCATCACCAAGAATTAACGAGCTTAGCAATTGTAAAATTCTTTAATAGAAGTAAAGTGCCCCGTCATAATAACATTTAACAAATCCTTAACTAACGTAAAGAAATCTAGGTGATCCATATAATCATTTGTGTTAAGTGGAATATAATAGAGGTAAAAGTAGTAAAACATAAGCAGTCAAAAGATTGTTCAAATAACATTAAAAAATAAAAAAATAACAATGATTTTGTCAATTTACACCAACTTAGGGAGCAATGCAACAAGACAATTTCAATGTGGTCCCTTTCAATTGGGTAATCAAATTCCTTGAAGAGCATAACAGATGTCTTATCCATTGGTTGGATTCTTGTAATACACTTATTAACCAATAAATTATAATATTACATAAAAGTAAATCATACAAAGGTATGATAGACTCTCTGTTGGAAACTTAAAAAGAAAGGATAAGTAAGAATCTGAATGGATGATTGAAACCAATCAAAACCACTATTGATGGTTATTAGTGGATGCAGGTAAGAATCCAATTTGACAATTTAATACATTATTGATGGGGTCAATTAGATAGCTAGAAACCGACTTGCCACTATTGATGGTCTAAATGCCAATAAACTGGCTGGGTTACACAACTGGGAATGTTAGGTTTTGTTCCAGCGACTGTTACAATTACCTGCCGACTTATCTGCCAGGCTTGCTGGCAAATCTTTCTTGCCTTTTAATAACTTGTAAAGTCACTCACCGGGAAAGAGGACAGATAAAAAAATAAAGATAAGTAATTTATGCTGAGCACCCTTGTTTACAAAGCCAATATGAATATATATATATATATATATATATATATAGAGAGAGAGAGAGAGAGAGAGAGAGAGAGAGACTTACAGATGATGATTTGGTGTGATCCACAGAAACTTGCTTAGCTGTGCTTAAAAGCAAAGTTTGGTGTAATCCACCAATTTTTTATGAAAGATTTTTTTTTTAAAAAATGTTTGTTAATGACTGAGGCATTCTAGCATACAATTATATAATGCAGTGCTTCCATTAATTAGTTCTTTTGTAAAGAAAATTTTTCTTTGCATGTGCTGAGTGCACTTTTGGGCATCCAACATAATAGACTAATTATTTAAATCTATGGCATTTCTTTATTTTTTTATAGAATTCATAGCATCTGGTGGAACAAATTTATCTCCTCCTCTTAAACAACTAAAACCTACTATAGAGTATAGACTATAGAGACACTACATAAAATGGATTTGAGAGAGACCTAAATCTTATTCCCTGGTATCCAAATTTTCCAAAGACATAGTGCTCGCCTTGAATTGGAGGATTGAGAGCACATCCTTCTCTAATTCTCATTTCAAGGCATATAAACCGTGTTCACGCACAGTGACACACTTGTAGTCTTGTACATATATTTTTGGGTTATATGTATGCATAAACATATAGAACATCTAGATGTACTCTGTAGGTGCACCCTCAATATGATACAACATACCAAGGCGTGCTGGAAAATTCAGTACCTTTCATGATACAATGCTGATTTATAATTTCTTTCCTTCAGGACTTTAACCTATAGTCAATTGCAATGTTCTCTAGTTTGAGTTTTATAAGATTACATAATCTGGTATTCTGGTGCTTATTTCAAAAGATTAAATATTTTGCAATTGTCCTGAAAACCCCTACTGATCAATGAAGATGACATTTTTTGCAATTATTTGGATAATGGACGTTATAAATACTTTTTAACCGTTTTTTGAATTGTATAGCATTGATAATAAAGCTATAGCAATGTGACTAAACGCAGGCCTCTTTATATTGCCACTACAACGAAAAGCTAAATGTTCTGCCAGTCTGTACCATGGGAATAGAGCTAGGCAATGAGACTATTTGTGCCTCTTCATTATTAAAACTCACGGTTACCCTTATTTACATTAAACTGGTTCATATTCGTTCATGATTTGTCATATATTTTCCATTTTGAGAAGTTTCCTATATAATCAAATAAGTTCGTCATTGCTAAGTCTTGCAATATAAATGTTACATTTAGAAGGTAGAATATACAATTAATTCTGCTTTCATTGTTCTTCAGTCATTTGAGACTGTTTATCAGCATTAATGAATTAAGTGTTGGGCTGTAATTACTCTACACTTGACTTTAAAATATATGCGACTCCCTGTGCTAGATAGTTTCTGTCTTTCTTCTTGGGAACTTAAAGTCGAGGTTGATCTGATGTAAAAGCTGTCGTGGTTATTTGATTTCTGGGAGAGTGAGACATGAATTGAAGCTGATGTAGAGTGGAATGAGTTGCTATTGGGGTTGGTCACATGATATATGTTAATAGATTCAGATGCTAATCGTAGATGATTTACTTGTTTGCACAAATTACATATGATTCGAATATTGATTCATATACGATCTTCACTTGTAGTATTTTCCACAATGTGTGTAACCTTTTGAATAGATTCCTGAAACCCTGTTTTGCTTCAGTTGTCAGGTTAGCGTACGAATCCAAACCTTCATCTAGCTGAATGATTCACATTTGGCGACTCTCTAGCCTTGTTGAGGTATGCTGTCTGGTTTAGGAGATAAAAGTCATCATATACAGAATGGCTCTATTTGTTTTTGTATCTACTACTGACATTTCAAAAAATTGCTTATCTTACTAATGGTCCGAGTGAAGAAGCCAAATTATATAGATAGTAGGCAATGGTTTCTGGATAAAAAACCAGTTTTATGAATTGTATATAAAAACACTAGTTGTTATTTCAGTTGAGTCATCTCTCTCTCTCTCTCTCTCACACACACACACTCACACATCACTGTTTTACGGTGTCTAGTGGAAGGGGGGCAGTAGCTCGAACACATAATAACGCCTGGTATATTGTATGGACAGACACATGGTACAATGATTTTGGTGAGAATGTGGATTAGGCTCATGATTTACTTGAATTAAAATATAGACAACTCATCATTAGGTAGAGGCATTGTTAGCATTCTTATACCCTAATTCCAGTTAGCAATCCTTTTAATTAAGATTGTTGGGTGGGAGGGATACATCAGCTACAAATCTACCATATGATGTATTTATACAGTGAATGCACTCAAAATTTTGAATTTTTCACACATCCTGTATTATACATTGTGATCTATTATTATTGATCTAACTTAATTTTTTCTCCCGGTAAATAATAAGAAAAATCTAGGATATATATATGTGTGTGTGTGTGTGTGTGTATAGAAATAGGTAGTTACTTTAATAATTGATAGCTATTGATAATAACTAGTGTTAGTATAAGAAAAAAATATCTGTAGTAGATGGAAAAAGAGGTTTCTTGCTGGAAATGTGGAGCATAACTGTCAACACTTACTTGATAAAGTAATAACAGAAACAAAAAAATAAAATAAAACAACAAAGCAGAAGATACAACAAGTGCCAGAGAAACATTCACATGCATTTCCCTTGTTTATCATTTCCATAGTGCACGATCACCTTCATCAATCATTGCACGGAATGAAACAAAAACACAGAGGGACCCAATCAACGGTCAGTGGAAGCCAACACCTCACAAATTAAAACCATTCAAATGTTTGCACGTCATGATTCATTATATCCAGATATTTTTTTTCCCCTTTTTTTTATTTTATTTTTTTATCAAACCTTAAATTTAGTACTGTCCAATTGTGTTTATAAGTTGAGGTAAACTATATGAATAATACATTTAAGGAGCGTATCTATAAAAGGTAGTTTAAAACAACCACCCAGACCATATATGATATTCTAATAATTAATATTTTCTTAGTGAAAACTTTATTACAATAGAATTTTTTTTTTTTTTTCAGAAGCAACCATACAAACACCAAATATGCATTTAAGTGGATATGAATTGGTGTAGATGTAGAGTCGAATAATTGTGGTGCAATTCCTTGATAAAGATGCTTGTTATGCGATGGTTATAAGGAGTCAGGTGGTACCTGTAAAGAGAAAGAGAAGCTATCACATTTGGTGGCAGGTCCAACAGTGAAAAATAAAGGTGTTGATGGTAGCACATGGAAAATGATGGTAGATGATATTATTGTGGTTCACCGTACCACAAGCATGAAGAATCTTGGTGCTTCATAGGTTGCATCTTTTAGTATGCTGGATTCAATTAATTCCATAGTACTATTAAAAAATATAATAAAAAAAACGCATGCTATGCATTTAATACATTCACATCCTATCATGAGTTGTGATGCAAATATCATCTCTTTATGACAAATAGAAAAATAAATAAAAAGATAAAATCCTTATCTTTGTCAAAGTCATGGGCTACATATCTAAGTAATTCATCATTGGTTTATTAATTGAGACTACACTGCAGTTACTTGTCCCACCAAAGTATTGAAAGGAAATATTGAAGACGGACTTAATTATTGGCACTCCATCTGCACTAAAATAGATGAGTATTTGTGGGTTACAATTTTTAAAGTGTTCATCTATTTTAGAAAGATGAGAGTATTAATTTTACATTATATGTTCTGAATTTCAAAATTATTTAAAATTTATTACTAAAATAAGCAACTAATCTACATTAATAATGAGATTATATAAAATTTCTTGAGGCTTTGATAACGTGTGATCCACCACCACCGTGTATTTCTATGTATACTTTATTTCACTACCATCATGTTTTTTTTTTTTTTTTGTTAAACTACCATCATGTTGTTATAAGCACATATACAACAATAAGAAGTGTTTTCTCTTTTAGCTAGTCTAGTTGGATGCATGAGACTTTCATTTATATATTTTTTTAAAGATAAAATAATTTTACCATTGGGTCAAGAATTACCTTCAAAAATTTAAATAAATATCTCCTAAGATAATAAAATACAAAAATGAGACTTGAGGGGAGTGTATCCACTTAAGGTCTGAATCTATTAAAAAAAAAATTATTATGAATCGCTACTACAAGTAAATGAGTTAATTTTTTTAGTCGTTTTTTATTCATATTTTTTATTTGTGTTTCAGTCCGTGATTGGTTAATAATTCCATGATAATCTCTCCTTTACACCGGAAAGAAGTTAACAAGGGTAATTCTGTCAAATAAAAGTGATAAGAGATCAAAAAGCAATAAATAGTGTGTGACATACATACATATATATATATATATATATATATATATATGGAAGCGACGCGTGTTATCGTGTTGATACCCACCCTTTGAAGCCTTTTAACTTGCTCCTCTCTCCCTCCCTCCGTTGCAGAGCCAAATCCGCCGTCGCAAAACCTCTCTCTCCCCACACACACACACTAAGAGACACATATATGTATAATATGCTCTCCTTAGATCCATACGTTGATTCTAGATCGTTCATCAATAAGAGAACCAGAAGCTGAGTTTCTCAAGAACGTTTCATTTTCTCCCAAAGGTAAATATCGCATTGTTTTTGCTTACTATGATCATCTCGATTTTCTTTCTTTAATTTTGCGTTCAATTGCTTATCTTTATTTGGAGATTAGATTACAAAACCTAAATTTCGCAATTTTTTTCTGCTATATCACCGGTGATGTTGTTAATCACATCCTAATTTTGTTGCTAATCGATTGTTTAAACTCTGCTTTCGAGTTATCAGATCCTCTTGTTTTTAAATCCATCTCTTTTGATTCGAATAATCAATTCACGTGATTGAATCTACTGGTTTTGGTCATCGCAGAGGGAAATTCGAATCATCCGATCCGATTCGATCATACGGAATCGACGGTGTTGATTGATGGCGTCAACTCTGATCTCGAATCAGGTAACGAACTCGGACAGAGCGCTCGAGTCAGCAAAGAGGAAAAAGAAGAAGAAAAGTCAAGCAGCCATCAGAGATCAAACTCAAAACCCTAACAACAATTCCAACGAGATTCAATGGAAGTCCGAAGTTCAAGAACAAGTCTACTCTTCGAAACTCCTCCAAGCTCTCCGCCAAGTCCGGCTGAGCTCATCTTCGTCGTCGGCTCCGAAGGGCCGTCTCGCCGTGCGCGAAGCCGCCGACCGAGTCCTGGCCGTGGCCGCTAAAGGAAGGACCAGGTGGAGCCGTGCCATCCTCACGAACCGGCTCAAGCTCAAGTTCACGAAGAACAACAGAAAGAGAGTGGCGGTGAACGGCAACAGCAGGTCGAAGAAGCCGAGAGTGAGTGTTTTGCGGTTGAATTCGAAGAATTTACCGGCGGTGCAGAGGAAGGCTCGCGTTCTCGGACGGTTAATTCCCGGTTGCCGGAAACAACCGTTGCCGGTGGTTTTAGAAGAAGCCACGGATTATATTTCTGCGCTGGAGATGCAGGTTAGAGCCATGTCTGCTCTAGCCGAGCTGCTCTCGGGCTCCGCTTCTGACAGCGGCTCAAATGTTTCGGCTCTTACTCAGCTCGGTCCAAGCCGGCCTCCACCAATCTGATTTCACTTTCCTATTTCTTCTATTTTTGTTTTTAGTTTTACTTTATGTCTCTCTCTGTGTCTCTTCGGTCTCCAGTATTTCCATGTCAAGTACATTCTCTCTGAGAAATGATAAAATCCAAATTTTAACAGAAAAAGTAAAAATGGACGCTAAGTTATAGTTAGGAGATATTTTACAATACAGGTTATTTTGACACGTGGGATCACTTCCATCAAAGTTATCTTTTCTCTTTGATAAATAAAAAATAAATAAGAAGATTTGATTCGGATGATAATAAAGAGTAGCAGTCAGTTTTGGTTTCGTTAGGTAAATAGTTTATAAAACGATTTTTCAAACCAAAGTGAATAAAGGGCGCACCAAAGAATAAAAATCCTTTATTAAGTAGGTGGAAATAATATTACTCTTTATATTAATAGGTTTCAACATAAAATGTCACAAGGAACAACCAAAATGGTGCGATCAACAGTGAGGAATTGAATTGTAGGTTGGTTGGAGTTGTTAAATTTCTTGGATAGTTCCCGACTACATGGTTTCGGTTTCGGACTATTATAATTTAACATATAAATAAATATGTTTATCTTATTTTATTTTTTATTTTTTATTTTTTTTTTATGTAATACTGTGATTGTTTGGATAGCCGATCATATAATAATTTTTCATGACATATGGTATATAATAGTAAATATACAGGACTAGCCTTGAAAGTAGTGGGTAGCTTGTGAATGAAACCAAAGTGGTATTAATGAGGATCTGTTACATATCATGTGCCGTGGTGTCCCCACATCATATTATGGTTTCATGACACCGCCCTATTCCTATTGTGGGCAGCATGTGAGACACTACCTCTGTTCCCCCCAAATGCGGACCAGACCCATTTCAAATCAGTCTCTGATTGCTATTGTCAATCTGGATCAACATGAAACATGAATTAATTTATAGATAAATGCATTTTGAACTTTGGTTCATTTGTCTTTGACTAGATTTATCTTGGATTTGTATTGAGCACATTAAACCTAGATGAAACAATATTACATTACATTTTTTTTTTTTTTTTCCTAGCAAGAGTTAATAGTTAGTTGGGAAGATGGGAATCGAATCTAAAAATAATACGGTGAGATATGATAGAGGCACTTTTGACCTAACCTTTTTAATAATCGGACTACACCATTACATTACATAATAAGTAGAAACTGAAAGGTATAAGTGAAATACATTAATGATGCAGTCAATATCTTTTTAAGATAGTATTATTTTAATCATAAACGACTAATCCTACTACCATGTGGGCTAAAAAGGGCAATTAGTCCGACAAATTAATGAAAAACAAAAGTAACATGCCACATGGTTAGTCATGGACCTAAACCTTGATTAGGACCCAAATTATACATATTGATTGTTGAGTTGACAGTTTCAATAAACCGACCATGTCCCGATTAGCAAAAGCTATACAAAACCTATATCACAAATAAAGAATTTGGGCTCCACACATAACCAAATAACAGTTGGTGAAGCATATGCAATAGCATTAAAAAAAAGTAATTAACACTTTACTTTTTGGGGCTTAATTGATTCTGATATGCCATGTTAGAATGAATTAGATTTTCACATAGTTATGATTTTATTATAATAGGTGATGAAAGAAGTGCATGGCCTCTAACTTTGATAAAAGTGGACTTGTTTGCCCCATATAACTGGAACAACAAATATCATTTTCTCTGTAACAAATATCATTCTCTATTATTATGAATAAATATATCTGCTTAATCAATCTAATGGACATGCATTGACTTTGGTAAGAATCACATGCACTTCATTAATTGTGTAGACCACTTGTTTCCCTTCTTTTAGTGGGACCAATTTGACAGCTATGTGGGCCCAAAGAGGTGAGAGTATCCTCTATTTCCTCACAAATAAATAAACATCTCAAAATCATAAATCCACCATTCACTCTTGAATGTTTTATATGGTATCACTAGCATTCTATTAGAAATATGCCCACAACACAATCAATAATATCCTTACAATGTTACGTAAATATTTTGACTAAATTTTTTTTTTAAAAAAAGGAAAAAAGCTATTATGAGGTGCTACGAGTTCTCGATCTTTTTGGTGTGATCATATAGAGATATTCTATTTAAATTGTCTGAAGAATGATTATGCTATAGTTAAATTTGTATGAAAAATTATATAACATTCTAAAATTATACGTATCAGACTATTTTATGTGAGTTAAGATGACATCAATTCACAATATTTTCATTCATAATAAATCACGTGAATCAATACAAAATTTGAGCTACAAATACAACTTTCTTTCTTCTTCTTTTTTTTTTTCTATTAAATTGCATGTCTATTTATGTATACACATGCATATTATATATACACACATATTGTGATCCTAAATTATGGAGCTGTTTTTGTCACTAATTTGGCCGTTACATCCATATTTATTTGGGACATCCCTTCTTTATTGTTTGCGACGGGGGAAACTGAAATATTGTTGAAGTGACACAGATTTTAGCAACATGATTATGATTGCAACTCCATATGCCACAAAATCATTAGTCCACATGTGACGTGTCATGCCAGCCTCCAACAACATGGATATTGCAGCTCTGCTTTTTTTTCCCATTTATCCACTTTTCCACGTCAGCAGCCTACGGTCTTCATCTGGGTCAGGTCAGCTGCCCCCTCTTTTTTCAATTATTTTATTTTATTTTTCTTGCTTTTTAGTACTACATGGTCTGCAAGCATGTGAGGACAACAAAAGCGTCACAAAAGGAAGGGAGGAGGAGAGAGAGTGTTTGTGTGTGTGTGTGAGAGAGAGAGAGAGAGAGAGGACATTGAATAAAAATACACTAGTGGTGCATAATTAAGCTAAAGTTTGATAGACACCCACATGGAGGGGTCACCAAAACTCACAATCAAAAAGCAAAGGTTGTGAAGATGGCAAACGCCACATGGTTCACCACTGTATCAATGTAGCACGAGGAGGAAGAAGAGAGAGAGAAGAGAAAAGGAAATATTGCGATGGGTTTAGAATTAGTTTTATAGGGATTGTGTATATTTGACTATTTTCAAATCCTGTAATAATGAAAATCGTTTTACCCTTTTAAAAAAATAATGGGATTCTTCTTCCATTAAATAAGATAAGTTTATAATTACATTTATACATAGCAAAAAAAAAAAAAATTGAGTTATGACACAGATTCTGTTCGGACTACTTTAATGTGAGTGGAGTTGATTTTATCATAAATGAAAATGACATTATCGCTGTGTTAGCTTCATTCACTTGAATTCTATTTTCAATTGGAATCCCGTGACAGTGAATAAAAGTAGTTTTCAGATTACATCCAATTTTTAAGCACATTTTGATATGAATAAAGTTTTAATTGGCTATCATTCTCAACTTCCCAATTAGTCCCATAGGCTCAGGCTCAAACCATGAGACACCCATTGAATACTTCAAAAACCACAAAGATGGTTGAATGTCATGGGGACCAAGATTGGGACCTTAGGTCACATTTTGGGACCTCTTAGCCCCCACTAGAGAGAAGCAACACCAAATAGAGCTAATTGTTGGTGACTAGATTTCGTAGATGAGAGACCTATTTTCACCTTTTTTGGTCATGTGCAATGTATCTATGTCCCTCTTGCAAGGTGAGTCCTTATCGCTTAAAGGAGAAAGGATCTAGTAGAGAGATAAATAGATATAGAAGGACAATAATTTGAAGGGGCGGGGGGGCCAGAAATTTCAATTCCATTCTTAGGGTGCCATGTACTAGTATTCAAGATTCCTTTGTTTCTTACTTTGCATGCTGCTTAATTTGTCTCCCGTGTTTGTTTGAGGAGGATCCCCTCGTTGCTGGGCTCCGTTTTGACACGTTGGTCTCAGTGTCGGCTGACCATAACAGTATTAAAACAGCGTCGTTTGGTGCACCGATCTTACACAAGGCTCAAGAAAAATGGAATGTTTTGATTGGTCGGAAGAATTCAATACCCATTGCCTCCGGGTATTGTATTTTTTTCCCCCCTCCAACTGGAGGGAATCCAAATCCGTGTTTGAGAGCCAACTACACAAGCATTTTACTATTCCAGTTCCTTTTGATTTATTGGACTGAAGGTTGATGGGTGCTAGGAATTTTTACTTTTTCAGAAATTGGTGGCTAGGGAATTCAAATGATTTATAATGAACAAAATTGTTGGGGGTAAGTTTGTTTGTTTTCCCAAATTTAGTTAGAGAAAGGAAAGAGAGTATGTGTAATTAAAAGGAATCACTTTTCTGTCCTTGATTAAAAAAACAGTAATAGCTCATTCAAGTCTATTAAAGGGTACGGAGGAGGGGATCCTTTGCCTTCCTTCCGTGCAAAAACATAAAAATTAAAAAAAAAAAAAAAAATTGTTATTACTAATCAATGTAATGTAATATAATTATTTTATAATGAATGTAACATCGTTGCATAAATAATGTTAAGTTATTACATAAATGATATAAGTTGTTGCATAAGTAATGTAATAACATAAAACAGGACACATGATAAAATGATACAGAAAAAGATTCAAGTTCTTGAAAAACTTAAAAGTTACCACTGCTCAACTTTAATGATAATTCATTATATATATATATATATATATATTTATTTATATTGTTGTTATTCAAGACCGCCCCTCTCATATAATTTTTTTGGTGCTTTAAACTTGAATACATCTTCCCTTTAAAAGTTGGAGAAAAGAAAATCTTATATATTCTTTCATTTCTTCTTCTACAATTTCTAACTAATCTAAAATCTTTTCACTTTTATTTTTTAAGCCAAGAAAAAAGATATGTTAACCTAGACTTAAACCAAGAAAGATATTTTTTAAGGGAATCATTTGCTCCCTTCTATTTATCTGTTTATTAAATTTGTTTTCTCATTATTGTTTCCAATAACACAAACTGAAAAACCCTTCCTCCCAGCATAAATAACTTAGAGAAATTCAAATGCCACTACTTTATAAAACTATTAACCCAGATTTGATATCTAACCTCTTTTATTGCCTGATTTGATACCTAACCTCTCTTATTGCCTGATAGTGTCCATCAAACATAGCATTCAAATGGTTGTTTCTTGTCATCTTTATCCAATTGAGTGTGATTAGACAATTCCAATAGGTTGTGTTTTTATTATTTTTTATTTTATATAATTGATTGATGATGTGCTTAGCCTTGGTAAAGCTCTTTTAGGAAACCATCAACATCCCCTGTATTGTTTTGGAAAATCTTATCTCAATTGTTGTGCACTTGGGATTTACCTTCAACTAAGAGTGATTTCTGATTGGGGCTAAAAGTAAATTCCTAATTCCAAAGTTTTCTAATTGTGTTGTAATGTTCAAAGGGGGAATGATAATTGAGTTCTGTTTTTTTTTTTTTTTTTTTTTCCCTTTCTAAAACATGAAATGACAAAATTGTTCTTTAAAAGTATTCTCACAACACACAATTACTCTGTTGTTTTGCTGCTTTGGACCTGTTGTCCTTGCTTGTACATTTCTTATATTTGATTCATTTTACCTTCCGAAAAAAAGAAAGATTAAAAATAATAAAGAAGAAAAAAGAAAAATGTGGATAGCAATAACAAAAATGAAGTGCCAATATCACATTCCTGTTCAAAATATATGTTTTGATTTGGTGCTATGTTTACTGATTGAAAATACTCATTCCTAAGTCATCGCATTGGTCAACCCCCAAGCATAGTTCGTCATATCGGTTGATACGTTACGTGTCTTTATAATTTTTTTTTAAGGATTCGATATCGTTACATGCTTTCATCAACCGACTATTTCAACTGGTTTATACCAAGATTTGCCCGAGGCCGTTACAATGCAACCGCGACCAATAATGCGACTACGAACCAAGCTCTCAAGTTCCAACCTAGATCAAAATCTTGCAATTCCTTTAAGCAAGTGAAGTTTATCGCTATCAATGATAATTTTCATTACTCTAATGATGTAAAATTTGGTTTACTTGTCCATTTCACACCTTTATAGTAACAAAACTTTTGATAATGACGAATTTCACCCACTTGACCTAACTACGAAAAAAAAAGCTCTTTGGAGAGGTTTTTGATCCCCCTTGTGGGCTTTGAAACTGGCCCGAGTGAATTATGGCTCTGCCCAATATATACATGGCAAGGTGCAAGGCGGAGCCAATTAAGGCCCCCCTCACTTTACTCCAACCTACTATATATAGGTATATGTTTTTGGTATATATATATATATATATATATATATACACTTACATGATAATTTTAAATAGTGTTCCCTCTCAAAATTTTAAATTTTTTTAATTTTTTTTTGAAAAAAAAAAAAAAATTACATATATACCTTCTTCAAGTATATAATATATTTTTCCTTTTCTAATTTTTGTTTCCTTTTTCAAAAAAATTCTTTTTTCACTTATGTATAATTATGTATTTTTCTATTTTTTAAACTTATTTCTTTTTATCGATGACATTTGTGATTATATTAAATTAAGATATTATTAATTAGTATTTTGATTCTTATATTTGTAACAATATTTTTTTTTACTGTATTTATTTAACATATTATTTTACAACTATTTTTTTTTATTTGCCTTTTTGATTTAAAAAAATTATGTTGTTATATTTATTAAATTTTTTTTTTAACAAGTGCATTATGCCCCTCTGAAATAAAATCCTAACTCCGCCCCTAACAAGGTGTGATTAACGAAATATATTACATCTTTTGAATTTGAAATAATTCGAAGAATATATCATTGCTCGTCTCAAACAGTATTCTGCTTTGCATTGGAGCTGTCTCATCTATGCATGCAACATCCTCTTTGGTCTCCTAGTCCTACAAATATACTACGCATTTATTTTGGCTACAAATATAACAACAAATAAAAACAATTTTATCATGATCAAATTGTAAAATCTAGCTTACTGCAAGCAAGATGCACAATAATCATACTTACCCAATATATATATATATATCAATTCATTGTCTGATATTTCAACTATGTACGGTTAATAAACTAATTTGAGGTTAAACTGTGATTTCTTGGCAACAAAAAAAACAACATTATAGAATCCATTGGTGAAGGCATGAAGGTACGTGGAAGCAATACACACTGCAAACATCATACAAATGCATGCATTTGACAAACCAAGATTCTGCTAAACGATATCCATGTGCTCTAGCTGTCATGACTTATAAAGAGATTATATCCAAACTAACCTAATGTGTGTTCCTAAATGTGTGTGTGTGTGTGCGTGTGTGTATGGTTGGTCTTAACAAAATGTGTATATAAAATTTAAATTAAATTGCAACAATTAGTTTAGAGTCCCCGTCACTCTCATACATTGAACCAAACATGTCAGAACATGATTCATAGTAGCCTAATTTGCAACATGTATAGCCGGCAGGCAGCTGAGAAATTAATTTGATTCATGAATTTGATCAACGACTCTGTAATTCTATCCAAAACAAAACCCAACATGGGAATCCAATATTTATTCATTTTCTGTTACCAAAAACATTGACAAACATGCAGCCCTAAGTACCATTAAAACCTTATAAATTATGGTTATCAGGCCACCTAAGTGGAAAAATGAGGCCGATCGCGACGGACCCTAAATGTTGTCACTGATTGAGCTAGCTAGAATGGCTAAAAACCCTAAATTTATATTGAATTGGGAAAGAGAAAGAGGAATAATCCAGAGTGTTTTGATGAGGAGGAGAGGATAGCCAAGGTGGGTGTTTGAGGAAATCATGTGAGAGCATGTGCAGTGAGTTGGAGACGAAAACAACAAGCAAGCCCTAAGGGACACTTAGGTCTCCCACATTCATTCATCCCCATTTTTCTTGGACTTGGTTGGAGTGTGGACCCACTATTGCATATTCCATATTATCCTAAAACTATGCCAACCCTTTTCCAACAACATATGTATAAATGTCTTATGCCCTCCGAAATCCAATTGTGCCCATCCATACTACATATTTTTTTTTTTCTTGTATAGGTCTTAGTTCAGGTCCTTAATTGCATCATGGGAGCTTCTCCACAGTCATTCAATGCCCTTAATTTGAAGGGTATGTTCCTAGGAAATAAGGGCACATGCCAGTACTCTTCAGATGATGGTTCTCTATGGAGCAAAGTTTTGAGAGCCAATAGAGGAGGAGGAGGAGGACATGGACGGAGGAGTAGGCAGAGGAGGATGTTGATGAAGAGGAGGGCATTTCCAAAAGGTTGTGGTAGGCCCACTAATGGAATTGTGAGAAGGGTTAGAATTCTCAAAAAACTTGTTCCAAATGGGAGGTCCAAGGGCTTGGATGGTCTTTTCACAGAGACAGCTGATTATATTTTGTGTTTACAGATGAAGGTGAAGGTTATGCAGATGATGGTAAATCTGCTGTCAAAAACAGATGGTTAATCAATAGGGTTGAGAAATTGATTTGTTTGTTTCATTCACTTTTTACTCCTAATTATTTTCAATGTATTTTTAGTGTACAGATTCAAACGGGCTTAATTTGCTTATGCCCATTGTAAGATGGTGGTGCCACATAAGTCTTCAAGCAGTGTATTTACTGTGTTTCTCTATGTGTTCTTTGAGTTTGGCCAAATTATTGATTTAGTGAAAAAAAATTCTTTCTTTGTTCAATGACCTTCATAATATTTGATCATGGGCTAGACTTTTTTAACTTCACGCAACTTTTTAGTGCAGACCTATTATCATATTAATTGTAAGGAATTATATTTGTTTCTCGTCTTTGGATATAAGTACCAATACAATAGCATAAACTCTAAAGGCAAGCCCAAGTCAAAAGGAAAGATCCAATGGAATTTCAAGGCTATTGAAATTGGACTCGGCCCACTTTCATATTTACTCTTCTAGTTCTGGGAATAAAGCTTAGCCCACTCTCAAGTCTTAACCATACACAGCTAGCTATCCACAGGGTCATTGTGTCACTTGAATCTATTATATCACAAGCTAAGTGAGAATATAAAAATATAAAATCTAAGTCATAGAGTAGGAACGTGCTTGGAAGAAGAATTGTGGGTAATTAGGAGGAAAAAAATAAATGAAAGATTAGGATGGTGATTAGCTATTCTTGTTTGGATGATAAAGTGCGGAAGAAAAATAAAATGAAGCAACTCATAGTCACAATTCTTCCATTCCCTTCCCTTTCCATATTGATATTTAGGATGATTTCTTTTCCTTTATGTTCACTCAAATCTCAGAATTTTAACAGAATGTGACAAATGGAGTCCTAATTTTAAGCTTATTATGCCATAGATTTCCACCTTTACCAAATGAGTAGCATGCTAAAAACTGATAGTAAAGATTAGGGTTAACCACTAGCTAAAAACTGATATTGATCCTATAAATTAACAGTGAACATCCATTATGTATTATTATTTGATCCATGTAAATTTAAATAGAGGAGTGTTAAACACAGTCGCACATCTTGTTGGTTGAAAAACACAATTATAGAACTTGTAATTAATGCCTCTTTCTTATTTTTTTTAAACAATAAAACTTAAACTTTTAAGACCAAATTATCCTTTTATATTTCTTCTTTTTTTTGTACGTATATATATATATATATATATTCTTCATTTTTCTTTGCTTACCTATCTTATTCTTTTTTCTCTCTCTTTTTTTTTTCAGTTGTTTTTAATTATATATATATATGCTCACTGTGTGAATAGTTTTTCACACTTTCTCCCTCTTCTTTAGATAAAGAGAGAGAGAAAAATATATGTATATATATGTTAATTGTATAATAAATATATGTGTGTGTATATATATATAGAGAGAGAATAATATTAAGTGAGAGAGCTTGGAGAGATGGAAAAGCTTTCATTCATATATCAAACAAAGATGCATATAGCCTTTTTATAGGCTGTTTACCCGAAGCTTCCCAAATAAGCCTTTATAAGGCTTTCACTGTACGCCTCTGCAATCTTCCCTTACAAGCTTCATTGTGATCTCATGGATTACATAATCCATTGTGGATCCCACACACTTTTATATATATAACACTCTCCATTGGGGTCTACAATATTACACTAGAAATATGCCTCGTTTAAACCTTATTAAGGAAAATTCAGTGGGACAAAACCCTAGTGAAAGAAAAAGAGTACAATATTCTTGTGCATCAAAAAATGGTATTGCATAGAGAAAAAACTGCCTTATTAAAACTTTGTCAGGAAAACCCAGTGGGACAAAACTTGGGCGAAGGAAAAAGAGTACAGCATGCCAATACCTCGTTGAGTCTTTGATCACTTGCTCCCCCTCATTAGATCAACCCTGAAGATCCTTTAGTTGACGCATTCCAATGTTGTGCACCAACTTTTTGAATATTGTAATTGGAAACGTTTTAGTGAATAGATCTGCTAGATTTTCACATGAACGTATCTTCTGAATATTAATATCACCCTTTTTTTGGAGTTCATGTGCATAAAAGAATTTTGGTGAGATGTGTTTGGTCCTGTCATTTTTAATATACACTTCTTTTATTTGTGCAATGTATGCCACATTATCTTCATATAATACTGTTGGGCTATCTTTTATTGATGAAAGACCACATGTTGTTCGAATATGTTGGATCATTGACCTCAACCAAATGCATTCCCTGGTTGCTTCATGAATTTCGAGTATCTTAGAATGATTTGAAGAAGTGGCAATAATTGTCTGTTTCATAGATCGCCATGATATAGCTGTGCCGCCACAGGTAAACACATATCCTGTTTGTGAATAAGCCTTATGTAGGTCAGAGAGATAGCCGGCATCTGCATATCCAACTAATTGAGGACTTGATGCATTTGAATAAAACAATCCCATATCAGTTGTGCCACGAAGATATCGCAATATATGTTTGATTCCGTTCTAATGTCTGCGGGTTTGTGCAGAACTGTACCTTGCTAATAAATTGACTGGAAAAATTATGTCAAGTCTTGTGCAATTTGCAAGATACAAAAGAGCACCAATTGCACTGAGATAGGGTACTTCAAGACCAAGGAGTTCTTCATCGTCCTCTCGAGGACGAAAAGGATCTTTCTTGATGTCAAGTGATCGGACAACCATTGGAGAGCTCAATGAATAGGCTTTATCTATATGAAAACGTCTCAGAATCTTTTCTGTATATGTTGATTGATGGATGAGAATATCGCTCGAAAAATGTTCAACCTGCAGCCCAAGGCAAAATTTTGTTTTGCCGAGATCTTTCATTTCGAATTCTTTGTTTAAATAAATGGCCGTCTTTTCGATCTCGTTCAATGTTTCCACAAGATTCAGAACATCAACATATACTGCAACAATAATAAAACCAAATTCTGATTTGTTAATAAAAATGCATGGACAAATATGACTGTTCACATACCCTTCTTTGAGCAAGTAATCGCTAAGGCGATTATACCACATTTGTCCAGATTGCTTCAATCCATACAAGGATCGTTGTAATTTTATCGAGTACATATTACGTGATTTTGTTTCAGGCATTTTAAATCCTTCTGAGATTTTCATATAAATATCACTATCTAGTGATCCATATAAATATGTTGTAACCACGTCCATTAGATGCATATGCAATCTTTCTGTGACTGCCAAATGTATTATGAATCTAAAAGTAGTTGCATCAATCACAGGGGAGTATGTTTCCTCATAATCAATACCAGGTCTCTGTGAGAAACCTTGAGCTACAAGTCGAGCTTTGTATCTCACAATTTCATTTTTCTCATTACGCTTTCGTACAAACACCCATTTGTACCCAACAGGATTAACACCCTCAGGTGTCTGGACTACTGGTCCAAATACTTCACGATTAGCTAATGAATTTAGCTCTGCTTGTATCGCTTCTTTCCATTTTGGCCAATCATTTCTTCGTCGACATTCTTCGACGTTTTGAGATTCCAGATCCTCATTATCAATATCAAGAGTAACGAGATATGAGAATATGTTGTCGACAACAATTTCATTTCTATTCCATCTCGTTTCATAATTTAATGAGATCTCATCATTTTCAGATACCTTTGCCTCATCAAGGGCATGTGCCTCATCAAGGGCCATATCATCATCTGTTACTTTTGCCTCATCAATATTTATTATTTCATCATTTTTAGGTACCTGAGACTCATCAAGAGCCTCTGCTTTATCAAAAGCTATTATCTCAGATTGATCAATAAAATCTGTTGCTCCTTTTGTGGCCTCTTCAGGAGTGCCAGCTTTTCTTTGTGATTTCCTCTTACGAGGAACAATATCTTTTGCACCGACTGGTCTACCACGCTTTAAGCGTGTTGCATTTGCTGCATTACTGACAGAAGGTCCCTCAGGGACAGCAATTCGTGCTGGCACATTTGCAGCTGGTATATGTGATTTTATCACTTTCTTTGTATCAGTAAATGCATCAGGTAATTGATTTGCAACATTTTACAAATGAATGATCCTCTGAACTTCTCGTTCACATTGGTTTAAACGAGGATCAAAATGAGACAATTCCAGGGCATTCCAAGTAAGATCATGTTGCTGCTGTGCCTTTTATCCCCCTAATGGTGGGAAACAGTCTCATCAAAATGACAGTCAGCATATCGTGCTTTAAAGATATCACTTGTCAGGGGTTTAAGATATCTAATAATAGATGGAGAATCAAAATCAACATAAATTCCAAGTCTACGTTGAGGACCCATTTTAGTACGTTAGGGTGGTGCAATTGGCACATATACAGCACAACCAAAAACTCGTATGTGAGAGATATTTGGTTGTTGACTAATAACAAGTTGCAATGGTAAGTACTTATGATAAGCAGTTGGTCGTATACGAACTAATGATACAGCATGCAATATGGCATGACCCTAGGCAGAAACAGGTAATTTTGTTCGCATAAGCAAAGGACGACCAATTAACTGAAGTCTTTTAATAAAAGATTCAGCCATACCATTTTGAGTATGAGTGTGTGCAACAGGGTGTTCAACATTAATTCCAACTGACATGCAATAATCATCAAAAGCTTAAGAAGAAAATTCAGCAGCGTTATCAAGACGGATTGTCTTAATTGGGTAATCAGGAAAATGTGTCTGTAATTTGATGATTTGAACAAGAAGTTTAGCAAATGCAATATTATGGGTAGAAAGCAGACAAACACGCGACCATCTTGTTGAGACATCAATTAAAACCATAAAATAGCGAAATGGTCCACAGGGTGGATGAATTGGCCCACATATATCCCCGTGAATTCGTTGTAAAAATGGGGGAGACTCAACAATGACTTTTGAAGGGGATGGTCTGATAATCAACTTACCTTGTGAGCAGGCAGTGCATAGATGATTATTTGGTAAGATGATTTTTTGATCCTTTAGTGGGTGACCATGTGAATTTTCAATAATTCGACGCATCATTGTACTCCCTGGGTGACCAAGTCGATCATGCCAAAGTATAAAAAGTTTTGGGTCACAAGATTTTTTATGGATCACAGCATTTGACTCAATTGTTCTAATGATTGTATAGTATAACCCAGAAGAAAAAACAGTAAGTTTTTCTAATATCAGCTTCTTGCCTGAGGTAGTGGAAGTAATGTAGAGATATTCCACATTTCTTTCATTTGTGGTCTCAATATGATACCCATTAGGACGCAAGTCGTTAAAACCCAACAGATTTCTCAGAGATCTTGTAGAATATAAAGCATCATTGATTTGTAATCTTGTTCCATGTGGTAAAATGATGTTGGCTCGTCCGGAGCCTTCAATCAAGTCGGTGGGACCTGATATGGTACTGACACTGACGTCTGTCAGAGTTAAGTGAGAAAAATATTTTTGATCTCGAAGGATTGTATGTATTGTTCCATTATCTGCAAGACATATGTCTTCACCATTTATTTTGGAATTAGTCAGATCCATTCCTATTCATGCAAATTTCTTTATCAGAAAAGAAACTTTTATAACAAAATAAACTTTAATACAAACTAGAGGGTAAAAACTTTAATACAAGGAAAATAAAAACATAGTAGACAGAATATGAAAAGAAAATAAGGTTAATTGGTGTGGACATTTTCAGCACCAATCAGGAAGTTTATCTTTTCATCACAGTCCTCAAAAAAATCTGATACATACAGATTTGTGATGTTAACTGGTTCATCATGATTAATGAAATTCATTTTCAGATTTGTGGTGTCAATTGACTCATCATTATCAAGGAAATTCATTTCCTTTTGTTTTCCCTTTTCTTTCATTGAGGCATGGTAAAGTTCAGCCAGATGTTTAGGTGTACAACAAATACTTTGTCAATGCCCTGTCATGCCACACCGATAACAAGTATTATCGTGTGCCTTGGAAGGTTGAGCCATATCCTTCCCTTTTCCCTGTTTCATTTCATAATGATCTCTCCTTTGAGGATATGATGTGGATCTCTGATTGCGAAAATATGAGGATTGATATCCTTCACGATAATAAAAATGATTTCTACTACGACCATATTCATTATTGTGGTAGTTATTTTTTCCACAACCATATTCATTTCTACGACCACGTCCACGTCTGCGTCCACGACCACGGGATGAGGTAACATATGTTTCAGGGATCAGTGTCGATCTAGTTGGACGGGATTGGTGGTTTCTCAACAAAAGCTCATTATTTTGCTCTGCCACAAGCAAACATGATATCAGTTCTGAATATTTTTTAAAACTACGCTCTCGATATTGTTGTTGCAATAGTACATTCGAGGCGTGAAATGTGGTGAATGTTTTTTCTAGCAAAAGTTCATCAGTAACAGTATCACCACATAATTTCAATGTAGAACTGATTTTGAATAGAACAGAGTTATATTCAATTACAGTTTTAAAATCTTGCAACCTCAGTTGCAGCCAATCAGCCCTGGCCTTTGGGAAGATGACTGTTTTTTGATGATCATATCTTTCTTTCAAATTATTCCACAAACAAAGTGAATCTCTTTCGGTGAGGTATTCAGTTTTCAGTTCCTCACTAATATGGCGCCGGAGGAAAATCATGGCCTTTGCTTTATATTGCAATGATGCATCATTGTCTTCTTTAATTGTGTCTCTAAGACCCATGGCATCCAAATGGATCTGAGCATCCAGAATCCATGATAAATAATTTTTGCCAGAAATATCCAGAATCCATGATTACTTCTTTCCTTTTTTTGTTTTGTTTTTTTTTTTTTCCTTTCAATTCTTTCATTTTCTATATATATATATATATATATATATAGATATATATAGTAGTTAACCATACTCTTAATAGATTGGGAAACCATACTTCTTTTATCTCATTTATTAACTAAAACTGAAATTTTATAATATTACTTCAATTAAAACTCAATCTCATGCCCATATTTTAATTAAATTACATAAAATATAATAAAAAATCCATCAAGGTGGAATATATATAAGACAAGTAAACAGAAAAAAGAAAAAAAGTAAAGAATGAAGTATAGCCATGTATATCCAATCAGGAAAGAAAGAATAAAAAAAAAAAAACAATTGTTAAAAATAAAAATACAAAAAGAAATAAAGTTAAATATATGTAACAAAGGAAAGAAAGAAGGTCATTAGGTATAAAGAAAGAGAAAATAATTTAAAAGGGTAATTTGGTTTTAAAGTTGATGTTTTTTACTTCCAAAAAAATAGAAAAGAGACATTAATTACAATTTATTTTTCAACCAATGAGATGTGTGACTGTAATGAACAGTGTTTTACACGACTGTGTTTAGCACTCCTCATTTAAATATTTAGGCTAAAGATTTTGCTATAGTTATTTTGTGAAGATGGGTATTTTATTTACTAAAATATAATAATAACTTGCAAAAAATGACTACCTTTTTTCATGCAAAATTTTATTCCAAAAAAACATAATCTAAAAAATATCTTAATGACATATAGACGACGACCTTTTTGATGACATTGGCTTCCGTTTAAATCCAGGTAAAACCTAAAGTTGGAACCAAAATACACACACTCTTGTAGCCTGTGCAAAGGAGAAAGGAAAGAAGAGAGAAAAATGGCATCTTCGTCTGGAGTTACAGAGAGAAGGGGTATACCTGCGGCCTCGTTTGTGGAAGATGTCCAGGCCTATCTCGCACATTTGTCTCTCGACGCCAACTCTTCCCTCGTTTTCCTCCAAGAAAGGTCCGCCCTTTTTCTTCTCTTTCTCTCTCTCTATATATATATCTATATAATTATAGTCGATAACAACATTCTTTGGAAATCCCAGATCAGAATATATTTGATTTTTAGTAGAGAACTTAGTAATCATAGTCTTCAAGGGTACCTTTTTCCTTTCCTGATAAGTTTTTTAACCTAAATTCTTCAAGAGTATTTGGGCTGATTAATTCTTCAGATTTGTTTTATTTCATATTAGTTTGAACTTGGCTTACTTGTGTCTAGTGTCTCATTGCTTAACTTAAAACTTTTAGTCATGATGTACTGGTGTGATATCAAAATTTCTTAATTTAATTTTATTGCTTAAATGGTGGTTTGATTAGTTGGTGATCCTGGGGCTCAATGAGAATGGGATTGTTGTTTAGTTGGTTGTACTTGTACAAGCTTCTTTTCTTCACTTAAAATGTAGGACAGTCTTTATTCTTTTCTAATTTATCTAACCTTGTGATTCAAATACTTTAGCCTTTGTTTGATTAGTGAGAAAACAGAGAAAAATGAAAGCAAATAAAGTCGTGCCACTTGTGTTCTACCTTGTTTTGTTTTCGCAAGATATATTGAGTGACTTGACCTGTCTTTCCCCTTTTTGTCAATACATTTAACACCATTATTGATTTCTGTATACATGTCTGAACCATAGACAATAGTTTTCTTTATGTTAAAAATCTAGTATTGTACTGCCACTCCTTGTATTTTAGGGAGAGCGCACCTTCCGCATGTTAATCAATTAAGTTCAACTCCTTACTTGTCCTCTCCAGTCTCCCCACCCCCAAAACAAGCACTCTGGACATCCCTGGACAGGTCACGCTAAGATTATAAATAGACCTCTTTGTTTCATGAGCGAATTGATCGATAGATAGTAAATGGGTCGGTTTGAAAATCAATGAATTGCTCAATAAACATGAACTCATACATTTTGATTATTTTTTAATATTTTAATGTTATGCAATTCTTGATGAATGCATTAATGTCAATGTAAATAAATGTACTTTCTGACTGTGTTTAATGTAGTTTCTGACCGTGTTAAATAACTGTCTTCTTCTTTTTTTGTGGTAATCCATTGACACAGGAGTATGAATTCTAGCTTTTGGCTTACTTTTACTCTCTTGCAAAATTTAGGATGGAATTGAAAGTAATTTTAAGATGGAATCTTGTGATTGAAAATACAATATTTGTTTTTCCTTATGCTTTATTACTAAGAATTATGCCCCTAAATGATGGCATAATGGAATTTGCATAGAAAACCCAAAATAGGTGGTTTAACTCTATCCTGTACAACATAAGAGAGAGTCAGCATGAGGGCTTGTCTTAAATACATCATGCACAAATGTTTGCTGTTTAATGCATCCAAAGGATTTTCTGCTCCAGCTTTTTAATTTTATTTTCCTACTAGTTCCTTGATGTACTTGATGCTGAACTCTTTTGCAGGCTTCAACAATACAAGCAAGCTGAGATGAAACTTCTGGCCCAGCAGAGGGATCTTCAGGTGTTTTTATCACTGAAAGCCCTTCTCTGCGTCCTTTGCAGTGTACATAGCATTGCTTTAACATTCAAATTTACTAATTGTTATTGCCTTGGCTAAAAACTAAGATTTGACTAAATTGAAAATATATATATATATTTTTGATAAGTTTAACTAAATTGAAATTTGAACTGGCGGAACTACTAATAAGTTAATTATTGATTGGGAATCGAATATGGATTAAATCCTTCATGCAACCCATGTTGTTATTATTATATTTGGCATGACCTGTGGACATAAACGTTGTTGTTGTGCTTAGAGAGGATAAAAAATGTCATACATCATAATTCAAAAACATTTCGGCTATCAGCATGGTTATGTATCTACTATGACTGGAATATGAGCAATATAGCCAGTGTCCTTGGGCATCCATTCATCATAAATTACCAGCCAATAGAAAAGTAAAAGGAACAACTTTATAGCAGATCCCTGGATGAAAATGCAGTTCAAAAATGTTCTTTAGCACATTTAAGAATCAAATATGGCTGGAAAAACTGCTGTTATGGACTCCGTGTCCTTCAACAAGCGTCCAGCACAACTCCCTCTCTCTCTCTAGATAAATGAGGGTAGGGGACATTTTGTGGAACAAATTGGTGGGCTTAATTACATGAGCAAAAATAGAGAATTGGAGCCACAGCCTTGAATCAATTTTATGTCCTTAAGGTGCAAATAAATAAACTTCATCTTTCTTCTTTTTTTTCCTATTGAAGTTGCAGAAAAATCAATTTGACTGGTTCTTTCAAATTATGATCTCGAGCAGTGAAATTTGGAAATTTTATGTTTAATAATCTTAAAATAAAGTTGTATCCTAGACGTATATCTGAATTTGTTCGTCTTAATTGTAATATCCAAACTATAATTATTCTTTTACATGTTAAATTACATGCCTTTAAAGTTTGCTTTAGACTATGATCATTTTTTTCTGACAAAGTTGAATAGGTTAACTTATGTTCAATCAAGTCTGTATTTAGATATTGTTGTACTTTCTCTTCACCTTTATGAGAATTTGACTCTCGGTTCCTATTTCTTGTGGTTACCAGGCAAAGATCCCTGATATTGAGAAGTGCTTAGACGTGGTCAGCACTTTGCAAGCTAAAAAGGGTACTGGCGAGGTTCGTTGTTATAATGTTACAAATGTATTTTACATAAATTATGTTCGGATTCAGCAAACCCATTTATAGCTGGGCTATTGGCTGATACTTGAAATTAGCATGGTGGTTTACTTGTTTGGGGGGCAAAGTTGAACTAGTTATGTTCGATTCTCATTTCTATGAATGCATACAATCTAGTCAATTAATCTGGCAAATGATGTGATGCGGTGGTGAGGCACTTAAATCGTGAACAATAGTTGATAGAATTTTAAAGGAATCCAAGGCCTTGTATTCTTCTTTCCAAATGGCTATGCTTGCTGAATTTGATAAATATTGGTTGTGGCAGAATCTCTTGTTCAGGTGATAAGATATGAGTCCTCTAAGGCTGCATCATTGTGCTATCTACTGGAAAATGAGTGTTATTTGTTTTTTGTGCAACATAATATGATCTAGCTTATTAGCTTTTTTTCCTCCCTTTGTGAGACTCCATCTCAGGCTCCTATAATGTTAAGATTGTTTTTTTCTGTACCCATACTGGTCTAGCCTCCTACATTCTTAGTCGTGCTAGGGGTATTCTGGTGGTTGATAACCAACCAAAGATAGGTAGCCTTCACTGACAAGGATAGAAAGTGTAAGGTTTTCTTTTTCAAGTATTGTTAGTGGCCTGTGTTAAAACACAGCAATCGAAGTGAGCCACATCTGAGTCTTTAGGATTGTTTTGGCATATTTTGCTGCGCAGGAATAGTAGTACTAGATCTTAAAGTCATAGCAAATGGAATATGAAATGTACATTGTAGGATTCTAAATTGTCACATGTTGGTGTAAGTTAGTGATCTAGTGTGTCACATAATTATAAAGTTTATGGTTTTAAATCAGGACAAATCTTTAAGCTGATTTTAACCTCCTCATATTAAATTTTAGATTATCATATCACTTAGTATTGCATTTTTGTGGTCCTGTATTTTTGTTGCAGGCACTCATTGCTGATTTTGAAGTCTCAGAAGGCATCTATTCACGAGCATGCATCGAAGATACTGATTCAGTATGTTTATGGCTGGGAGCAAATGTCATGCTGGAGTATTCATGTGAAGAGGTATTTCACTTGGAATCTAAGATGTTTCTTGAAGTCAGCTTTTTACAAACCAACACCAGTTTAAATTAGCTGAAACTTCAAAGTGCAGGCCACTGCACTTCTGCAAAACAACTTGGAAAATGCGAAAGCCAGTTTAGAAGTTCTTGTTGCAGATCTGCAATTCTTAAGTGATCAAGTGACAATTACTCAGGTAAAATTGGTATTTTAATCTTTAAGGAGCAGTTATTAAAGAGTTCAAGCTTTTCCTCAAATGCACAAGGTTGCTATTTGTCTCATCTTAATTCATTTGAAAACGGTTGAGCAGGTCAAGGCATTAAATACACATTGCACAATTAAGCATCAGAGGAAATCTCTTTTCAATGTTTTGAAGTCCTAGCCACAGACCTTAAAAAAATTTGTAGCTAGCCGTTCATTTCTATAAATGTATAAGCTCATTTGATCAGATTAGCTGGTTAGCTGGTTGTGATCTTTTACCAAATAAGTGCTATTGACCAGGTAACAATTGCTCGTGTGTACAATTGGGATGTTCAGAAACGCAGAACGCAACAAGTTGCTGCTGCTGCCAAAGACTCATGAAAAAGTTCTGTACATCCGGAAAGAGGTGGCAAATCCTGCTTTTCTAGCGAAGAATATGGTTTGGCTGTCTCTTATTTATTCCTTTAGGTGATAACATTAACTTCCCTTTTTGATTGTAAATTAGTAATATTAGTTGATTGGGTTCTCATCTTATTTGAGCTCTAGTTCCTTGAGTTTTGGTTCTGAAAATAGATCTGTTGTGTGAGAAAAATGTCATGTTACTCAGACTAGCTTTGTTGATTGGTGAGACTTGTTTGGGCTTGACTGTAACGGTATGATTGGCGAAATTCAAAATAGCGTACCTTCATTTCATGTAGCGTGCACTATTTTCCCATTGGTGAGATGATTCTTCTGAATTCAGTATGCTTGAATAATAACCGAACTAAGACTCTAGGATGTAGTTGCAGTTCAACCTCAGATTGTAGTTTTGTACACATTATTTCAAATTTGAAATTTGTGGAGTTATTGCAGCTTCTTGTAATGGGGTCCACAGAAGGGTTGATCATGACAGAAATTCGTCGGCCAAGTTTCATCCAATGAAGCACCTTGGCATCAAATTTTTTTACCATATCCAATGATATTTAGTGCGGTCTTATCTCGTCCTTCTTCAAAAGAAAGAGTGGTGGATTAGAATACTGCATTTTGAGTCAGAAATAGCATTATTAATCTCAAGTGCCTTTATAGAAAGAAACAATCAATTTTTTTTTTTTTTGTTGTCACTTGAGCCTCAACATTTGAGTCTTCTGTTGCGTCAATTGTGTGTGTGTGTTCAAAGGTGACTCAAGAATTAGGCAGGATAGCACTTTGTGATCAAGGGGAAAATTTTACTGCTGATAGAGACTTGTATCTCAAGTCGACCAAGGTTTTCACAGGAGGTGTGAAGACCCTGTGGGCGGGTGCGAGGCACTGGCAAGTTATTATACTGGGCGAGATACGGGTGCACAATTAAATAAGGAAAAGATGAAGTGTTTATATGTGGTGGTGGTGTTATCTCTAATTGGTATTGAGGTCTTTTGGGAAAAAGTTCAAGAGCAAAACTGTGCGAATTAAGACTTAAAACGGACAATATCATGTCATGTGGTAAAGTAAATCTTTGCAAATGGTGTTAGAACTCGGAGGACTCCGGTATTTTGGTGATATCTAAAGTCAAAAAAGATGGGCAATTTTTTAAGCATGTGTAGGGATAATCAAGTGATGAGCATAACTCAGACTATATTGTAATACCCACCACTTTCTGACATGAAAGCTTGTATTTGAGTTTTGGACCATTTTGTGACGTTTGATTTGAGTTTGCTCCTCCTCCTACCACTATGCTAGTATAGGGTATGGGCTTCTCTAAAGTCTAGGCTGGGGGTGGTCATGGTATGTGTTATTTTGGCATTCCACTTTTGTTAGTATTTAAAAACTAGTTCTGGTATGAACTAGTTTATGCTGTTTATGTAATTTTTTCTGCTGCATATACGTACAAATTTATACATGTCATGTTTTTCTTTATAAATCTTGGCTCTCTTAATTTTAGTAATTTCCTTTTCGTTTTCTTTTTACACTCTAAAAGCTTCATCTGCACATTTCATCTTACATCCATATTCCTTTTATCTCATATGGGCGAAGAGCGAACATATATGCATTTGAATTGTGCCAATAACCCCTTCTTAAGTAATTTGTACGCTAACCGACAAGTTAGATCTAAAACAAGTTGAACGCTTTTCTTTCCTTTGGTATATTTTAAGTGATAAACATCAATCCCACCTTTATAACAGTGGACGAATGTGGCTGTTACCTGCGGGTGTTTGAAAATGATTGTGATACAATCTTGTTTGTTTTGTTTGTGATGATCAGAAGATGATGGCAGTCCTAGTAAATAAGTACACCTGAGGTGCATGGAATCATCATGTACGATAAATATAAATATACGCTTTTTTGAATCCCACTAAATTTTCAATTCAATTTACAGAAACGTACCACTCAGCCGCGGCTGATTTGTCTGTATCTGTGTTGACGCGTTAGATTAGAATACTAAGTGTACTATTATTATTATTATTATTATTATTATATAACAACAAACAAAAAAAGATGTTGACTTTGACTTTTGCCATGTGCGACTCTGATCTGAACAGGACAGTACCCCAAAACTCAAAAAAGTAACTGGGGTCTCCAAAATGGTAACCACTCCCAATTTGATTTTAATAGCCACAATTCTCGGTTTCTGTTTTCATACTTCATCAAGGTGCTTGGTTAGGGCATCGGGTGATCACGATTATTTACACGTGTAATTTGAATGATCGTGTTCGTCTATTCTAAATTTATACATTTCGAAAAAAAAAAGGATGATCTATGTTTTTTTTTTTTTTTTTCTTCCTCACACATCTGCTTCAATGTTTTGGAACCTGAAAATAAAATTTGATTGTAGCATGAAGTAGTCTAACTTTGATCATAATGTGTGGAGTCAGATGCATGGCTAGAAATTGAAGTTGAATGAGTGAAAAAGATTTGAGCATTTTCACAACCATTTTTCGTACTGTTAGGTAGTATTCTGTTTCAATGGTACCACAATGTTTCCTTTCGCTAGACCCGCTACGCAACTGCAAGGACCGCAAACTTGTTTTTGACCACATAATACCCTACCATCTCACCCCCACAATATATATCTCTATTTGTTTATATATGTAAATATATACCTATATCTATATGTGTGTGTGTGCATATATAAGTCAAGTCAATGTTAATAAATGTTAAAAGAGAGTCAAAAACACAAGGATGTGAGAGATTTCAGCCATACGTTAAAATGTCAATGGAGGCATTCAAACGCTGTGGAACACTTCAAGGCTCCGACATTAGGCTCCATCAAGAGATAAAACTCTTGATGAAACCTTGAGAATAAGCAAATACATGAAATATCTCTAGAGCAATATATTGTGCTCTTTAAATATATATATTTTTATCATTATATCCAATATTATTTATATTATAATAATTTATAAAAGATGGTATTATAATCTAAATTTTTTATAATAATTTCACTTGTCTTCTCTTTTCTCTTCTATCCGTATTTGTAGAGATGTAAATTTGTAAAAGAAAAAGAATGAACATTCTATTTTACTCTCTCCCTCTGTCTCACATCTTTTGAATTTTAAATATAAGGAAAATAAAGTTTGAATTTTTTTAAAAAAATACTTTCTCCGTCCCTTTTTAATTATCCATCTTGTAGGCTGTAACTATAAAAGAACCTAGAAAGTAAATAAATAAATTTAAACTAAAACGTGTCATCTTGTAATTATAGGACATCAGTAGTAAGGACGCAAAATTATTGAGCACTTCATATAGTTAGGTATTTTGGTTGACCATTAACAAGTATAAAAAAAGAGACACTCCTAATCTGAAATCAGTCTCGTGACCATGTCAGGTCCACCTTTGAAAGTTTATAAAAACTAATACACTAAATATGGGCCACGTGGACAATATATATTTATATATTAGTGAAAAAATCCTGATGAGAATCCTGTTTAAAATTAACTACTAAATGGGATGGAATAATTAGTTGTAGTACTCTACAATTTTATAACTCTGTTTATATATATATATATATACATATATAATCATTGCTACTAATTTCTGTTTACAAGTGACGTAGTCCGTGATGCCAAACATTTATCTAGAAACAGAATCATACAAATATAGTATAATTAGCTATATGGCTATACATATAATATGGGTGTCTAGATTCATCATGTATCAAAAAAAAAAAAAAAAAAGGTAGAATAAATTTTTGCCTCTAATCTTTATACAGAAAATTCTATTCAACTATTCCTTTCTAAAATTCACCTACTATATACCATTATGTATATATATAATCATATAGTAATATGAATAAAAGAAGTAAAATAAGGATGGTCGGTTATACTAGTTATCTTCTTTGCAGATTGATTGCTAAACTAACATCGGACAATTATAGCGGTTAGAAATTTAGTAGGTATTACATTATGATTCTTCCTTTTAAAATTATTGGCACCAAATCAATAGAAAAAAGACACGAAAATAGACACACCTTATAAACATTATCTTTACACTAGCTTATAATAGGGGTGCACACAAAAAATTAGTTGAACGAGTAAACCGAATCAGATTGGTCAATTTGGTTCGATTTTTTTATGTTTCTGTCCAGTCTCAATTTCAGAGACAGAATCGTTTATGAACGGTGTAGTTTTGGTTTGGAATCCAATATGACAAAATCAAACCGAATCAAAACTTTAGATATATATATATAATCATTAATAAGATGAGTCTTTTTTTCAAATTTTCTAATTTTAGCAAGAAACTCCTAGAATGGATTATGGGAAACTCAAACCCTCAACCTTTTATAATTCAATTCGATTCAGTTTCAATTTTTATAAAATTGTTAGGATCAATTTAATTCCAAAATACACTAAAATCAATTCAATCCAAACCAGGTGCTCTGTGACTCCTACATTATTATAAAACAATATGAGATAATAGCAGAATAAAAAGGATTATCTCGTCCCTACCAGGAGTATATAATATAGAAATATATTCATAGTGAGAGAGTATAATATTATTGTTGCATTATTTCATGAATCAAAAGGATAACAGTCACATGGAATCATCTCTAGATTTATTATAATTATGAACGAACAAATGTTCAAAGTTTTGACTTTTGACGAAGTGTCTCATATTCCCACACAAATCGAAAAAAAAATGGGAAGTTACATTGGGAAAAGGGACCACAGTCCATATTGTCATTATTATATAAGTCCGCATTTTGATTTTTAAAGGGGTAACAGATACATGTGAAAGAGGAAGAGATGTACTCCACATTTAAAATTTTGACCACAGTTTCACTACTTTTGCTAACGAAATGGTAATCATACAGTCAAGTTTTAGGTAAAAATATGAATTTTTTTCACCTTTGTGTTTCACAACTTTGACTGGATATATATTGTATAGGGCAGTGAATTGCTAACCACTTCTTTTGCAACCAGGAATGCTCATCGGTCACATCTAGACGGGATGGATATGTTGTTTTCATCTTTTGGGTGATTTTTACGTTGTTTTTTTTTATTTTTGTTTGATTTATTTTTTATTCGATAGGGTGGATTTGTTATTTTTTCTTCCGCTAGATCTCTGATTTAGATCGATTTTTATTTTTCCCAACTTGATTTGATCTTATGCGAGGTTGAATGTGTAGAGAAGCTTCGTGGATGCAGTTTTGAAACTGTTGCCTTAATGATAGCCTAACATTTGGTCACTCCAGTTGCTGCTATTCTTTCTTAATGGTTTCAGTTCTAGAACGGT